TAGCCAATTTACCTGGTAAAATATGTTTTTTTTTATACCATATAGCCAATTTACCTGGTAAAATAAGTTTTTTAATACCATATAGCCAATTTACCTGGTAAAATATGTTTTTTTTTATACCATATAGCCAATTTACCTGGTAAAATAAGTTTTTTTAATACCATATAGCCAATTTACCTGGTAAAATGTGTTTTTTTTTATACCATATAGCCAATTTACCTGGTAAAATAAGTTTTTTTAATACCATATAGCTAATTTACCTGGTAAAATACATTTTTTTTTATACCATATAGCCAATTTACCTGGTAAAATAAGTTTTTTTAATACCATATAGCCAATTTACCTGGTAAAATACATTTTTTTTTATACCATATAGCCAATTTACCTGGTAAAATAAGTTTTTTTAATACCATATAGCCAATTTACCTGGTAAAATACATTTTTTTTTATACCATATAGCCAATTTACCTGGTAAAATAAGTTTTTTTAATACCATATAGCCAATTTACCTGGTAAAATACATTTTTTTTTATACCATATAGCCAATTTACCTGGTAAAATAAGTTTTTTTAATACCATATAGCTAATTTACCTGGTAAAATACATTTTTTTTAATACCATATAGCCAATTTACCTGGTAAAATATGTTTTTTTTATACCATATAGCCAATTTACCTGGTAAAATACGTTTTTTTTTAATACCATATAGCCAATTTACCTGGTAAAATACGTTTTTTTTTTATACCATATAGCCAATTTACCTGGTAAAATATGTTTTTTTTAATACCATATAGCCAATTTACCTGGTAAAATACGTTTTTTTTTATACCATATAGCCAATTTACCTGGTAAAATACGTTTTTTTTTATACCATATAGCCAATTTACCTGGTAAAATATGTTTTTTTTAATACCATATAGCCAATTTACCTGGTAAAATACGTTTTTTTTTATACCATATAGCCAATTTACCTGGTAAAATATGTTTTTTTTTTATACCATATAGCCAATTTACCTGGTAAAATAAGTTTTTTTAATACCATATAGCCAATTTACCTGGTAAAATATGTTTTTTTTATACCATATAGCCAATTTACCTGGTAAAATAAGTTTTTTTAATACCATATAGCCAATTTACCTGGTAAAATGTGTTTTTTTTTATACCATATAGCCAATTTACCTGGTAAAATAAGTTTTTTTAATACCATATAGCTAATTTACCTGGTAAAATACATTTTTTTTTATACCATATAGCCAATTTACCTGGTAAAATAAGTTTTTTTAATACCATATAGCCAATTTACCTGGTAAAATACATTTTTTTTTTATACCATATAGCCAATTTACCTGGTAAAATAAGTTTTTTTAATACCATATAGCCAATTTACCTGGTAAAATACAATTTTTTTTATACCATATAGCCAATTTACCTGGTAAAATAAGTTTTTTTAATACCATATAGCCAATTTACCTGGTAAAATACATTTTTTTTTATACCATATAGCCAATTTACCTGGTAAAATAAGTTTTTTTTAATACCATATAGCCAATTTACCTGGTAAAATACGTTTTTTTTTAATACCATATAGCCAATTTACCTGGTAAAATACGTTTTTTTTTATACCATATAGCCAATTTACCTGGTAAAATAAGTTTTTTTAATACCATATAGCCAATTTACCTGGTAAAATGTGTTTTTTTTTATACCATATAGCCAATTTACCTGGTAAAATAAGTTTTTTTTAATACCATATAGCTAATTTACCTGGTAAAATACATTTTTTTTTTATACCATATAGCCAATTTACCTGGTA